ATTCTGAATAATTAAGAAGGCTTTTAGAACTGGCTTTTTAATTTCCTTTCTCTTCCTTTCTGTCTCTTTCTCCTTGCTTCCCTCCAGCTCTCTTTCTCTACTACCCTCTCCAGTGTTCTATACTTTATAAATACCCTCCTTTTCCTAATGTGTATTTTTATCTGTATACTACAATAAAATTAGAGATAGTAAATTATAAATAACATTCAAGTGAAAATAGTCTTTTAAAAATTTCTTATTGTGCTAGAATATGCATAACAAAATATTTACCATTTTAGACATATTTAGGCATATAATTCAATGTCATGGAGTAAATTTGTATTTTTGCACAACCATCAAGACTACCCATCTCCAGAAATATTTCTAATCTTCTCAAACTGAAAAACATATCTTTCCAAATTAAACCACACCTCCCCATTCCAACCCCCTCAACAATCAATATTTCATATACCAGTTCTATAAATTTGACCACATTAGATACCTCAAGTAAGCAAAAGCTAACAAAATAGGCTCTTTGTGTCTACTTAATTTCACTCAGCACAAAAGTTCATCTATGGTCAATGTGTCAAAATTTCATTCCTTTTTAAGAATAATATTCCATTATAAATGTAATACATATATATGACTTTATTCATTCATAAGGGACATTTGGGTTTTTTACACCTTTTGGCTATTATGTACAGTACTACTATAAACATTGGTGGACAATAATAGTGTTTTAAACTTTTCACTATGTATTGAAGGCAGAGCATTCACACTGAGCTATATTCTCAGTTATATGTCTTTTAAAAAATTATTTTTGTTTTGTTTATTTGACCAAGTCTTGCTAAGTCATTAAATTGCCTGGCCTAGGCATTAAGTCTTGAGCCTCCTGTCTCAGCCTTCCAGACTGCTGTGATTATAGATGTGGGCCATTACCCCCATCTTTACACAACATTCTTAATCATTCTTAATCACTAAACACACAGTCATTAAACACATTCATTAAAATCATTTGGAAATACTAATTTATTTGCTGACACTGAAAGTATTAAGCAGCTTTACCTGACAAGGTTTTACTTTGAATATTTCTCTCAAGAACTCAAAAGCAATCTGTGTTCCTTAAATCTGAAATTTACCTTGAAAATATACTGGGGAAATATTCAATAAATAGGTAAGTAGGTGATAGACTGGAAAAACGGATTCTGCTCCAGACTGGCCATGCGACAAAGTCCAGGTGCCATGGGAAAACATTATGGAAGATGCTCTTCTACCTTTGAATCAGAGAGAGCTCAATAGCAGTTGAAGGGTGTTATAAACTTGTAACGTATTTCTCAAATTTTTTCATAGACGTCAGGAATGATGGGACAAAATCATACCATGAAAACTGAGTTTATCCTCACAGGATTTTCAGAACACCCAGATCTGAAGACTCTTCTGTTTGTGGTGTTCTTTGCCATCTATCTGATCACTATGGGAGGAAATATCAATCTGGTGATACTGATTTCAAAAGAAAAGAGTCTTCACACACCAATGTACATCTTCCTGGGTAACCTGGCTCTTGAAGATTCTTGTTGTGCCTGCGCTATTACTCCCAAGATGTTAGAGAACTTCTTTACTGAGGACAAAAGGATTTCACTCTATGAATGTATGGCACAATTTTATTTTCTTTGCACTGTTGAAACTGCAGATTGCTTTCTTCTGGCAGCAATGGCCTATGAC